TTGTAAACTGACTGTTGAAACAATACATTTAATTTATAATTTAATCAAGCAGGTGATAAACAGACTGTAAATGAATGCCAGCTGCCAGTCTTCCTTCACATTATAAGTACATTATTTTCCAAAGATGGTAGTCAATAACTCAGATAGTCATTCAACCATACAATACTACCAATACTACATTAAAAGAGAATTTATTAAAATGTTACTTCATGCTTATAATAAGACATTAAATGTTCTATTTTTTTTCATAATTAACAAATCTTTTCTATCAAATCTATCACCTATTTTTTTATTTAATGGTACCAATAAACTGAAATAGGTAATAGAACTCCACAAGTTTGTATTACCGGTAATACATGTACACAAAATATACATACAGATACATAAAAATAAACAAATAATTGATTTGTGTAGATGCAAGAGTTATTCAATACAAAACTCTGTTGAACACATCATTGGTTAGTGCATGTAAAAATGAAAATGATCGGATCAGCTGTGAGCATGAATACAAGTATCATGGTAAACCAAACTCCATCTAAAATTATAAAAAAATACTTACAAGAATTACATACAATGTCAGCTGTGGACAGATTAATTAATTCTAATATTTTGAAAGTTGTTTTTATAAACTACAAAACATCATTTTAGTATCAAACATTTCTTTGTTGTTGAGAGATAAAATCGTAGCAAAGGAAAAATTGAAGTCATGTGGCAAAATAATTTCTCATATGCTTGGAGACTTTCTGAATTGTGAAGAGCAATGTCTGGAGATTCAGTCATTTTCTGTACCATCAGATACCTCGTCATATCAAGCATTTAGTGTTGAAAGCATACCACACAGTTTGAGATTTCTTATCTTGGGTTAGATTCTTATGGTAGAATTGCCTCCATCCCTAAAGTGAATGTTCTGTTTTCATCTAACGTTGACAATACACAATGGATGTGCATTTATGCAGAACTGGACACCAATACATATATCATACTGTGAACAAAGTAACAATTATTCATTAGGAAATATTAATGATTGAAAGTGACGATATGCAAATCCCCAAAAACAACAGTGAGGTAACTATATCTGTAGCAATGATCTTACCTGTACAGATAATAAAAGAAAGAGAGAAGAAAAAATCCCAACTTCATCCAACCTTCTTTCATACAGCGTGATAGGACATCAGCATTCATTATTGTAGTGGGATCATAAAGACCTGGCTGACTCATCACAGGACGATTGGCATACCTGGTGAATCAAACACATCAAATATTCAACTTTACTAACACACTAACTGACACTTAATGGGGACTTTAGTTTAGTCATTATGCATGCATCCATAGCTTTATCTTTGACACCGTTTGACAAATTCTCTCCTAACCTCACATGTACTTAATATCTTATGTGATACATATGCACATGCAGGGATTATGTGATTTGGTTTCAATTGTTTAATATTTTAGTCATAAAAATATATCTTGTACATACTTTGGGCAATTACTAACTTTATACATGTACATCATAGCATGTATACAAACACAATAATTTGTCATCTGATCAGAGATGGTCCGACTACTCACAATTTGTTTAAAAAAAATTAAAATCAGGTATTCTGACAAGTCTGAAACCACACCACATACTCGGTGCACATCGTTTTTTGCAAATTTTGAATAAATTGACATATCATTTACTATGTTTTAAATGTGATGTATTTTCCCATTATATACATTGGAAATTCTTCCACTTCAGCCATGGTATATGTGCAGTAGATGTCAAAATTTTAATTCAACATGAATTTCCTTAAAGCAAAGCAATTCCTAGTATACTGATAATTGTTCTGTATATCTTATATATTACTTGAAAATACTCAAAAAATTAAAATAGCTTTGACATAATTCTCGCAAATGGTATCTACCAATACTGTTATGTTTTTAGTCACAACAAACAGTTTGCAACCATTTATGTTTGCTAGACTTAGACAAGGCTATGTTTATCAACATTTAGACCAGTTCTCCTCACATCAGGCAAGTATTTCTAATCTGACATGGAATTTGATGTGTCAAATATGCCTGTCAAATGTCACCCTCTGGTTGAAACACTGCAATATATTAGGTAACATGAGGTGGCAGAAAAAAAGAAGCATGGATCTTACCTATAAATATTATAACCAATGACTGGCATGTTTAATGCCACTGTCCCAAACTGACCAGCTAATAAAAATAGTATTGTAAAAAACATATGCAGTCCATACTCTGGTAAAACAAGCTGAAAAGAAATCAATGTACTTCATTATTTGTGTATTGATAACACTCACTTGGGATTACCCAGGGATGTTGTGAATACAAAAGAAAGGTTGTAATTTCCAGTTTGGATGCTCCTCTATACTAGCACTGCCCTCTTTCACTGCCCTCTTTAGTGACACTAATTGCTGATTAGAGTGGCTCAGGTCATTTCAAAATTATATTCTTTTACACTAGTCACATCTAATTCACTGGCTGTGATCGGTTAGACAGTTTTCAATCACCCTTTGTAGTTACAAAAGGCTCTTTAAAATAATGAAATTAACCATAATCCTCATCTAAGAATTATCTTAAAAAAACGGATATTGCAGTGTGTACAATTCAGTAAATATAAGACACTAGAAAGTCACAACAAGTTGAGCTCACAACTTTATGATGTACATGTATTAATACACTGCAAAACTGTTTAACAACCTACTTTCCTGATCGAGAGAGACGAACAGATTTCACAAGTTAGGCAAAATTTGTAGCAGTAGACATTTCATTAGGATCTTTAAGACACAAATCATAGTGACTATCATATACACCACATGCACAAAGTTCCGAAGAGAGGTCAAGTCCACTTTGAAGAATAATAAAATAATGGCAATACACTTACTGGATTCAAGCTATTACATTGATCTATAGGATTCTTGTAGTCTGTTTTGAGCTCGTCAAACGCAATAATCTGCAAAAAAAGAGATGAATCTGTAAGTTTGTGTTTTTAGGACTCATTTTAACAAACATGATTAATTATAATTACACATACAAAGAAAATCATGGCAGCAGATAATATTGTAATGCAGGATTTTAAAAATGTAAAAAGAGCCACATTGTGAGCTTCGAACACTAATTTTTGAAAGAAAATTGCTAATTATTAACAAGAGTGGGAGAGTTTAATGACAAAGAAAACATACAACAAGGCATTTTGTGCAATCTGCATTGACAGATGACTAAACAAGAAAAGGACAGTTTTTCAAATACTGATATGCCAAAGGAGCACTCCCGAGACTGTCTGCTGCCATCCGGGCACCCTCCAAGGACTGTTTGGTACCCCCTGCTTGGTAAATTTGGGACTAAAAGTGACCTGAAAGTGGTGGAAATGGTTGGAAACAGACAGTAATATCTAGTAATTATTGTGTTTTTTCGGCGTTTTTCGAAAAACCTGCAATTAGGCTG